CACTGCAGCACAAGTCTGCCAACATTCTATTTCTCCCCAGTTGATTCGCTTATGAGGCCAGTGAAGTAGCTGCACGGCAATTTTCAAGAACACATTCAACTCCAATGATTTCTATGTCAAGGATGTTCAAGCTATACTGGTTTCGTTACCCATCAGCCAAATAAGCAGGGTTACAAGTTTTATCGTCACCTCCTTCCATGCCACCAGCACCACTCGTACTTAGGTTGAGAACCCCATTTCACTCACATACACACCCTCACAACCCTCATAGAAAGCTGATCTACCCACTTTGAAGCCAGTCTCAAAAATATATATATCAGTCATTCCAGGTCACAACAGTCCAAATGGTGTGGGGAGAACAGAGGCTGCAAGATGGTACAGTGGAGAGTTCCAGCTCTAGTTAGTGTCCGAAGATTATACATCTGTCTACTGTGTAATGATTGAGCTATCCTATCATCTAATATTTTGAAGTCAGTCATGCGAGTTTCCATATTCTGACAGGCAGAAGACTGGCCACGAATGGACTGCTGCCAGTTGCTGGGCATTCTTACAAAGAATGGGGGACAAGTTAACTTTCATCTGATCCTGCAAGGCACTTGTGTTCATAAGAGCAAACACCCAGAACCAGTGAGCCTGAACTAGTTATGCTTTAACCTGTTCGGGAGATCCCAAGTATGCACTCTTTTGCTTTGCAAAGGTAACAGGTATCACTGAATCAGCAGGATTCTAGTAAGAACAGAGACTTCAAGACTGAAGACACCTATCAGTATCAATAGAAAGCCTCCATGTATCGGGATCCACAGAACCTCTTAAGCAGTAACCCCCAACATGATGCCTAGGGGCACCATGATGCCTGCCAGTGTGTTTCCTGGTATCTACTTCCTTCTTCCCTGAAACAAATAAACCATCCTGGCTTTCCTCCACCTCACTGAAGTAGGAGGCGTTTCAGAAGACTCATAATTTGCAAATAACTGCACCCATCATAAGAAGATACCTGGTCTGAGACCTTCCAAAATTTGTAACTGCCTCCTCATAGCACCCATTTTGTGACTGGTCCTGCTTCCCCTGGCAGCCATTTTGTGGTGGCACCCACTAACCTCCTCCAAAGTTCCAAAAGCACACACAGGCCCAACAAGGTTGGAAACTTCTGTTCTAAAGCAACACTAAGTTCTCAGCATTTCACATCATAAACACTTAAGGTTCACCAGTATCTTGTTTTCCCCTCATGTAAGAAGCTGCTGTACAAAAGCAACAAGTGGTCCAGAGTTTCAAGTATAATGGCAAATTTGTGAAACAATGCAACTAGACATGCCAACATATAGTACTTCAAATTCTAGAAGAATTAGGCTAATGTGATGGTTCATGAAATGTGCAATACTGTGTACAATTGTCCCACTTACAAGACCTTCTCTGACTTCGGTATCTGAGACAGAAACCACCAGCCTGTTTAGGTGGTGTGTTAAATGACATGATATATTAAAGCAAGGCCATACATAAACACCAGCCCAAAAAGGAAGACCAATTTCGGCTATGTTCATGGGCTTAGCCGGCCTCCAAGAAAATTCAGACTTCTCGAGCTCAGCAGCAATTATGTCCATATATGCATGTTTTATTGCTCAATATTCTCAAATGGGCATGGAAGCCCCATTGTGGTTATGTAAGCCAATTTCAAAGGTACCATTGTCATGTTTTATTTGGGGTGGCTCTTCCACAGATGGGCGTTTGCACTCGGAGATCAAATCTCATGATTAACGTGTATAACTGTAACTGAGCCGAAGCTGCCAAAATCTTTTCCTTGGGATGACTGGGGGGGATCGCTGCCTTTCGGATTCTTTAGGTACCAGATACCTCAAAGCCAAAAGGAAAAGTAGACAGTCATACTGATGTGCTTTCTGCCAACTTGAATTCAACCACCACAACGTGGTGAAGGGCATCCTTTAGATAGTACTGCAACCAAACTGCTCCTGTGATAATAATGGTGAGGTCTTTCTACCCCCTACTCCTCTCCAGCTTCCAGGAGCCATTTCTAAGACTGTGCAGAAAATTAGGAATGCTGCAATGTGGGGCATATTCTGTGCTCTGAAGCTGCAGTGGCTGTCAGGCAGGCTCCCAGACACCCGGCTTGTGTCTAGCAAGAATAAAGCAGACTCCAACACAAGACCATAGTGAAGTCTTTTGTATTATTGCTAACTGGTTTTAGCATGGTTTTAAAATGTTTTAATTGTTTTATTGTAAAATGCTGATTTTATGTAAGCCGCCCTGAGCCAGCCTTGGCTGGGAGGGTGGGGTATAAATTTGAGAAATAAATAAATAAGTAGCACTGACATCAGATCTGTAAGTTTATTTGCTCAATGTACGACGGCTACATAATGACTCACATTCATGATATTCCATCACTGAGGAAAACTGCTAAGAATGGTCCGTGTGTGAAATAATTCCTTACAGAAACACGGAGTTGGAAAAATAATCACTGATTAGACCTTAAAAAGAGTTCACTGCATAACATGACAGAAAAGCACAAACAAGGGCTCATTCAAAGAACAGAGTCATTTTTCTCCTACACTGTAATAGTTATAATTTCACCATGACGAACACCAGACATTAAGATTAAGCTAACACTGGTGTCTTCTTTTGCTTTCCTTTTTTAAAAAAAACAAAATCATATATAATTGCATGTCACTATAGCAACATCCATTAACAGATCAGTTTTGTTACGATCACTATTTGGTAGAGCAAACTTTACCCCCAAAAAAGAAAAAAAATAAATTAAAAAATTTTAAAAAATTGTTGAAGACTATTGTCATAGGAATACATAACATCTACAGTATAAGTTAATAAATTTCAAGCTACTTTTATAGAAATACAACACCAGCATGCACAATATTGTATCAATAGAGTAATGGAGCAGTTATTCATTTCACTGGAGAGACAGTTATCATAGGCAAGTGCATTTCTTTAAAAAAATGAAAGAAACCATTCAAGCTGCTCACGTCCCCCAACCCCCCCGCCCACCCACTCCATATGTAGCCCTTTTGTGCAATCTTTTCCCCTGCATAAAGTTTTCCTAAAGCAGCCAGAGCTAAAAAGCTGAAATCAAGAAAGGTTTTGTAATTCCAGTAAATCGTCTCCAAATGATAAAAGCCAGGAACACGGACAGCTCACATGACATGACTGCAAATTAAAGAGGAGCCTAAGCATCCTTTCCAGTCCATGACTTTCCCCTTTATTAAATTACCTAAGCTGCAAGCCTCTCTTTCTCCTCCTAGATTTAACAGGATGCAAGAGCCAGGCTATTGGCGCTGCACATTATACAGGTGGCCAACAATGGAAAGTCACTGAGTGCAAATTGTCACACTGCAACAGAGTACAAGGAGTTAAAAATGTATCTGCACTGGATGCATTCATGGGGCCTTGCTAGCATTTGCAATATCAACCCATTTTAAACTTTGACTTTAGGACTACAAACCGCTAAGAAAATGTATCCTCTTGCTCAGGCACACCACATCTGAACTTTGCCAAGCCAACTGGACCGCCGTGTGAAACAAGATGCTCTGTTTCCACAAGGGACCACAAATGTTTGTGCAATGGTAGTCATGAGTGCACAGTTTCCTTCTGTGGTGCTTTTGATAAACAAAAGCAACATGGTCAAATATAATTCTTCAATTAAAACAGGAAAACAGCAATGGGTTTCCACTGATCATGATTTTGCTTTCTTTTTAAAAAGTAGGGGGCAAAAGTATTACCTGATCAGCTATATTGTTTTCTTCTAGGCAACTGAGACTTACGAATGAACAAATCCTGTTTTAGAGGACAAGTTCCAGAGTGCCTAAGGTTTTGGTTTAAAAAGAAACACACATACACAAGCCAACCATTGGAAACAAGCTCTCGCCCTTTGTGGATTTCTCCAACAGAATGTTCCACTCTTACTGCAGCCTTTACCACAGATCAGAGCTCTAGCTCTGGCAAAGACAAAAGGAGGAGGGGGGGGGGCTTCAAAGACCTGCTGACAAACCTCATGGCACAATGGGAGAAAGTCAGGTGATGAGCAAAATGGTAGCATGATCCCTGAGGCAGGGGCTAGGACACCTTTAGTTAGAAACCAATAAATAAACTGGGATGATATTGAGAATACCACACAAAATATGGAACACACAGACCTGAATCAGCATTAGTTAAGTGACATTGTATTTTAACATCTTACCCACTCTAATTAAAATTCTGAACCCCTATATGCTGTGGACTCTTGGTAGTTTATACAGCTGCTTGCCAAGCACCCATTAAAATGGCAAAGAATTGGAACGACATGGCTGTTTCTCAGGCAGATTCTGGCCCCTGGGAAACCAAATAGGGAGGGTAAGATCGTCCACACAGACTGGAGGAGGGTGGCAAGCCAGAAAAACAGACAAGAGAAAGTTTACACTCAATGGCTTGATGTTAAGTATGGCTGTCATATAGAAATACTGTAAACCATAATTTAGTGTTAATACTGCAAACTATTTTAAGCAACTTGACAAGAAAGCCCACAGGCCTATAATCTGAGCCTGGGGGCTCTTTTAAAATTATGTCATTATAAGGAGGTTCCCCAAAGTTTGGGACAGGTGGTAAGAAGAGGGGAGATACATAGCTGTACTTAACAGAAGCATATGGCATTTCAACTGAAAAGACGGATGAACCCTTACTGGAACCACAGAACTGCTTTTCAACCAAACCAAAAAAGAGAAAACAAGGGTCATTCCATTCAAGTTAGTCATTATCAACTTCATGTATTTCTAGCAATTAAGATAACTTAAAGACAGCTCCCCCTTGAATTAAGTCTACAGAACAGTCCATATGCCATTGTGAGGCTGCCATTCCATTCCACTCCCTACCAGCACAGCCAGCCTGACTTTCCACTAGTGGTGTTTTGGCAAAAGTGTCAACGAGGCAATCAAAGACAGGTTACAGGGGAGCCTCTCTGGAAGGTCACCCCTCCTTTCCCCTCCCCCTCCCCTGACCCCCTCCCCCCCACTTGTGGGAAAAAAAATAAAGACTGCAGTAGTAGCATCGGCGTGCAGCTGCCAGTCCATCAGAGGGGTCTAGTTGTTGCCTTCACCACCATCGTCGTCTTGCTGGTCGCTTGTCCAGAGCGTTAGGTTATCACGGAGGAGCTGCATGATGAGCGTAGAGTCTTTGTAGGAGTCCTCGTTGAGGGTGTCTAGCTCAGCAATGGCATCATCAAACGCCGTCTTGGCCAGGTGGCATGCCTGCTCGGGGGCATTCTGGATCTCATAGTAGAAAACTGAGTAGTTAAGCGCCAAGCCAAGCCGGATGGGGTGAGTTGGCTGCATGTGTTCCTTGCTTATCTCATGAGCTTCACTATATGCCTTCTCAGAGGATTCCACAACAGTCGCCCTTTTCTCCCCAGTGGCAACTTCAGCCAGGTAGCGGTAATAGTCCCCTTTCATCTTCAAGTAGAAGACTTTGCTCTCATACTGGGTCTCGCTGCAGTTCTTGATCAGGTAGTTGTCTAGGAGGCTCAGCACATCCTGGCACACAGCTTCCAACTCCTTCTCGATCTTCTCACGGTAAGCACGGACCATCTCTATCTTTTTCTCGTTGCCATCAGCAGAAGTCTTCTGCTCAATGCTGCTAATTACTCGCCAAGAAGAACGCCTTGCCCCAACTACATTCTTGTAGGCTACCGACAACAGGTTCCTCTCTTCATTGGACAGTGGCTCATTCAGCTCTGTCACCTGTATCACAGAAAGAACAAACAACAGGCATAATCAGACTTGGCTCTTTACTTGAAAGCTTGCTCCTTCCAAGAACCTACACCACTACTATTGCCTTAAAATCCAAGACTGATACTAAAACATTTCCAGACCATTCATATCTGTCAACAGAATGTCAAATGCCTTTCAAGGGAGCAATATGTTGGGTACTCAGCCGCGTAAGCAGCAAAATATTCAGACAAAAATCAAAAGATCATTTTTAAAGCAGGAACAGTTATTGTGACTGACTGTTTATGTCCTTGACAGGAATGGATGTCTTACTTTGCATCTGTAGACATATTTTTCCAAAGAATCACAGTAGGTAATAAGGGAAACTCCAACACTAAGGGCTGTCACACTGAAGCGTGAAAGGGAATCCACAGATTTGACCCCCAGATCTTCAGCAGTGGCCATAACCTTAATTGTTCTGGTCAACAGCAAAAGCTTCCAGTGTACTCCACTGTGTGAATGAAGGGCATAGACAATGCAGGGAGACAAGGATATATCTTGTGCAAGAATCTGGCATCAGTGTTGTGGGGTGGAAAGGACAGATTATAAGACTACTTCCCCCACCACCAGGCAATGGGAATGAGTTTAACATTAGATAGACTAGCCTCACTAGCTACTAGAAATAAGGAGCAGCAACCAAGCTCCATAAAAATGTGTTGAAGCATAAAGAATAGGGAGAAAAATCTGAATAAAAGTACGGACACATAACAATTGTGCTTTATTGAGGGATTCTTGAAGAATAAAGGACACCATTCTAGGGCAGAGAAAAGCCCAAAATAAAAATTGAAGCCCAGTAGTAAATATAAAAAGACAAAAAGGAAGGCAGGCAGAAAGCAGGGATGCAGGAAATAAGGGCTCTTTAATAGAATAAATAAGGGATGTACATGTAGCAGAGGTCTTCAAAGGTAGGACAAGCGAGAGAATTCTCACAGGCAGTGGAAACAGAAAGCTATTCTTTATTGGACCCCACCAAGATATTTGGTTTTTAACAGGCTGCCAACTGACTTTCAAGTTACTTCCCACAGCCACCAGACATAGTAACTTGATTTTTTTAAGAGTGACATTTAAGCTTCTCAACCCCCCACCTCCTGCACTAGATAGAGCCTGTGCTACTCAGCAGTACAGCCAAAAAACTTGTAGGACCAATAACCAGCATGCACAACAGGTCACTGTTATACTGAATTTAGCACTGACAGCATGAGTTTCACAAACAGGTGCCTAGAACAAGTCCTGCTTGCAGCACTAGCTAATCTATGGCACTACTGATAGATTACACACTGTCCCCACAACTGAAAGCAGCTATTCAAGACAAGAGTAGCCATCTAAGTCATACTTCACTAAATCAAGCAGAAAACCTACATTATATCATCGCAGAGCCTCACCAGCTCACAAGGCATCATGAGCCCTCTCTAGGCAGCTGCCACCTCCCAGTGAATTAAATATTCTAGGCTGCTCATGGATGCAGCTCATGGTAAATGTGGAGATCAAAGCTGACTCGGCACCAGTGAGCCAAGGCTGCTTGTACTTCCCATACATCCCTAATCAGAGGCAGACATCAGCTGATGCAAGCATGTTTTTGCCTCCAGCAAGAACACAAAGATGGGATCTAAAGGATAAGGCAAATAGATATGTTCAAGAAGGTCACTGCACCCCTCAAGCAAGCATCTCTCTATTTTGGGCAATGAGGCAATTACATTTTCAGGAGTGCTTCAAAAAGCTACTTAGGGCACTTTGGGCTTATTTTAATTAGACAGCCATGCTTCAAGGGGACATTACTGTTATCTTGGAAGAATTGGATTTTTATACAGTTTACAAGCCACGAGAGGGAAGGAGTGCGAATGCATGCACTGAGGTTATGCACTAATCTTTACCTTCACCTCTGAAAAGTCATCTGTGATACTTATGAAAAGATTCAACATTCCCGAATCTTTAACACAGATAGCCAGGGCAACATGCCAGAATCTTAAGTGCAGGCTAGTAATTCTGAGGTATGCTCTTCTAGCTTCATGCTTGGACATCCAGACAGGGGACCACCCACGACAGGCTCCTAAAACTTCAGATGTTTACTTCCTCACCCAGTTCTTGAACCAGAACAGGCCCCTCTACCTACCGGTAACTTTTTACTGCCATTCTTTACAATTTAAAACATGTTTGCAAACAGATACTCATTAAGGGTGAGAAGAGCAAACAGGAAGGACAAATTTTTAAGCTCAATCACAATGTTTTCCCCTCAGGCTACTGATACAACCGTGTGATTTATAGAGGTACGCCTAGGAACTTGCATGGAGACCCAAAACCTAATGTTTAAAAATGCTATTCAAAGACTGATGAGGAATTTTCAGGGGGGCATTGAATAATGTTTTGTAAAAATTCAGGATGCATTGTTTTAATTTAAGAACAAAACTGAAAACTGTCACTCTCCCCAGATCATTTGCTAATTCTGGATCGAACTGGTGAATTTCTCACATGATGGAAGAGATGATACAAGAATTTTAGCTTTGGCCCTGATGTTACTAGCCCAGTCAATCAGGTGCAATTATAACTTGGTTTTAAAATTTAGATTAATTCATTTGTTTGGAATTTCCCCCCCTCCTGTTCTACCTCCCATTTATATAAAACAAAACATATACATTAAGATAATAATCTGAAACATATTACAACTTTGAAACTGCCCCGCTTACCTAATACTGTACTAGCATCCATTCATTGTTAATTTTATAAAACAATTTTTTAAAATGACAAATTTCCACTGGAAAAATTCTGCCCCACATTAGGAGGCAGGAATCAGAAATTCTCAGATCTGCTGCCCAATATTCTGGTGGTACAGCTGGCCAGAGGCCCACGCTCATTGTTCCATTTTTTCAAAGGCTTCATCCCAAAGCCACGGAACCATCCAATACAGCAGGCAGACAAGCAGGCCAGCTACCCGGGAGCCTTCCAACAGAGCTGGCTCTCAACAACTCAAGTCAGACTGAAGGGAAAAATAGCAGCCAAGGATGCTGTCAGCTGGCGATTAGAAGCCCAGCAATGACTGGAGGCATCAAGTGGGAGTAGGGCAGGCACGTGTCCAAAGATGCAGGGGTATGGGGGGATAAAAGAGAGGAATGCGCCCTATGGGCAATGCCAGTTAACAGAGCATTCTGGATGATCAGGTGCCAGATGATTAAGCTTTCATTTTGTATCAGAGGATTACAAAAACAAAATTAGCTCACTCCTACTAATGACCCCATCCAAAGAGGAGATTTTCATGTTTTCAAAAGGGACAAACATGCATGCAAGTAAGTGTAAGGGACATTCAAATGTGTTTCTCTATTTCTAGTGTCAACTCTTGTTCTCTATCCCAACCAATTTTCAAACATACTACCAAGGTAGATTACCATTGCCAAGGCATTAACTCTCAGTTTCCACCAAAGCATTTCCTGAACCCACCACCTTGCCCAAGGTAGCTTGCAAACCAACAGTAATTTGCATCCTAGCACAGGTGGCTCTGGATAACTATTTTGTATAAATCTTTATATTAAATTTTTCAAATAGAACGTATAACAAGAAGGTAATAATCAAAACAACAATTGAGAATACAACAGTAAATCGGGTATCCAGTGATAGTATTTCCATTTAAAACTTAACTTGTGTTCAGCAATGATTGCATCAATGAACCGATGATTGAAAGAGAGTACACGAGGATTACAAATATGACAAAGATTACCAGACTAGCCAGTTAGATATAAGTGATCTATTTTACCTGGCTCTGGATAACTATTAAATAGCAAAGAGGAGTTTCATTTAGACAAGTCATTAAGTCAGTCATTAGACACCGCTCGACTTCAGCCTGTTTTAAACAAGTGGTCAGTTTTGATTGCAGGTACCTTTATGTGTAATACAACATCCATTCTATGTAACCTTAAGCTCATTCTGACATTTTCCCTTGATAATAAAAAGCCCAGGAATTACAAGAAAGGCGATACTAAAACAAACAGTACAACCATGCCTGCCAGCTATGGCACCACCCGCAAAGGCAAGCTTGATTCTGTCTTGCCTTGTGCTGGAACAGAAGTGCTCAGTTACACAGTAACAAAGCATCATGTGCAGTTCATACCAATACGGCATTAGGAAGCCAGGCAGGATTGATCATTAACAAATACAGCTGAGAGAATACACTGATTCTGGCACAGTTGATGTTGTGTTGATGAAAGAAAAACAGGTTGCTTACCTGTAACTGATGATCTTCGAGTGGTCGTCTGTGCAGTACCACACATGGGTTGGGTGCCTGCGCACGACCTCGACCGGAGAAACTTCTAGAGCTTTGCCTCAGAAAGCTTTTGGCGGGCTCTCTTCCCGCCCTGGGGAGCAGGCACATACTGTGCATGCCTGGAGCGGGGGAGAGAGCCACCTCCCACTCAGTTCCTTCGACCGCTACCGGTAAGTCCCATCAAGCCAAAGAAAGGTGAATAGGAGATGCCAGCAGTGGGGAAGGCTGGGTAGGATTGTGGTACTGCACAGATGACCACTTGAAGATCATCAGTTACAGGTAAGCAACCTGTTTATCTTCGTCGTGGTCTCTGTGTAGTCCCACACATGGGTGATTACAAGAGCTGAACCAGTTGGAGGAGGGAGCTGGCAGCTGCAAGAAACACAAAGAATACTGGTTAAGACACAGCATCATCAGCTGGAAAAAACACCCACAGGTCCTACCTGGAGACGTAGCAGGGTCAAGCGAAGAGAGATTGCAGCACCGACTGGCCAAAGGCAGCATCCCGTCGAGCTCGGACATCGAGTGCGTAGTGGGTCATGAAGGTCGATGCCAAGGACCACGTAGCAGCTGCACAGACGTCCTCCAACGGGACACCAGCCAGGAAAGCAGTGGATGTCAATACCGCCCATGTAGAATGGGCAGTGACAAGAGGTAGGAACGGGTTGACGTGCAAACTCATAGCAAAGGGCTATGGTGGAAGTCACCCACTTCGACAAGCGTT